ATAAGACAGTAATAACCCCCACAATTCTTAGGAAATGAAGATGTTCAGAAGACACCTGCAGAGGCTTTTAAATTGCGATTTTATAAAGAAATATATTGGCTTTCTTCTATCTATGTCCATCCGATACTTAGAATGAAGAGTGATGGAAGGCTTGGTTAAATGTCAAATCAAAGATGATGATTATATAGTGCCAAGTTACATGCTTTACATTCTGGCAAAGGTCAACAAACTCCACCACAGAAGCTCCAGCAAGTAGAGTTTCCTTGTGTGGTTTGTTATTTAGAGATAATGTACTGGGGAGGTCTGCAAGTTTTATCTTGGGCAAAATATTCATACCAGTTTATGTTTATGAGGATTTTGAGTAGTAGGTTGGGAATGATAAACTTTGATTATGGGAATGCCAAATGGAATTCTTAGTTCTTGGTATTTATGTGAGTAATATCAGGCATCTTTCGAACAATAAAAACATTTGTAGTGGCTCGTATAAATATGAAATGCAATTTGTACCTGATTATAAGACTGTCTATTACCTAGTCATTCACTCAATCACACTCAATCAATATCTCACCCTCACTCTTACTCTCACTCTCACTCACTCATTCTCATTCACTCATACTCACACACACTCTCACTCTCACTGTCACTCTCACTCACTCACTCACTCACTCACTCACTCACTCACTCACTCTTTCACTTTTTCACTCTCTCACTCTCTCACCCCCCCCCCTCCCACACACACACACTCACTCACTCACACACACTCACACACTCACACACTCACACACTCACACACTCACACACACTCACACACACTCACACACTCACACACACTCACACACCCACACACTCACACACTCACACACACATGTGTGTGTGTGTATACATATTTATATATTCCTATATATATATAATGTATATATTTACATATATTTATAGATTTATATATGATCATACATATTATCATCGTTATCACATTACCGATGTTACTGAACAGCCATAGAACATATGTAGAGGAACATGTATTCTAATAGAGTGTCCAGTTCCACTACAGCCACTCTGGGATTTGACTCCTGAACCATGGGGGTTGGAGTCCAGTTTTTTAACCATTGGTCCATCTTATTATATACACATCTATATACAAACTTGTGGTATGCATAAATGTATAAATTTATTTGGCAATTATTGATTACGCTCAGTATTCATATATTCTGTAATTTCACAAGTATGTTGGCAAATGTCCCCAAGGCAGGCATCAGCTAATGAGCAAGGTTGGAGATTTTGAAAGGAGGACTTTATGCCAGTTTATAACAATTTGGATTGTTAACTGTAAACTTTGTGCAATTTTCCTTTATTTAGTATGTCCGGTAGTGTTATAACTTATTCTTCTTCTCAGGTTTCAAGGAAAATGTGAAGAAACAAGTCAAGCCAGAGGAAATCCAGAACAAATATATTTCCCATTTGTGGATAGTCACCATTGCATGTCTTGTGTGGCACTGGCTTGAACCGCAACCATGACCCAGCAGATACACAGCTACTCGGGTCAGAGCTATGACCGGTGGGTGGAACGCAACTCTAACAGCTCTGCCTTTGGGAAAGTCCAGAAGCAGTTCTGGTTTACGAAGAGCGCTGTCATACGCAAACTCGGGAAGAAGGAGGACGAGCATGTGGTTGCTTCAGATGCCGAGCTCGATGCCAAAATTGAGCTCTTCAAGGCCATTGAATCCAGCACTAAAGATCTGCAGGTAAGACAGGGGGACCTTTGGCTCACTCTCCTATGTGTATTTTCTTTTGAGGCAGGATTTTGTCATTGTTGATGGCTCACTCTCTCACTCTCTCCCTCTCCCTCTCCCTCTCCCTCTCCCTCTCCCTCTCCCTCTCCCTCTCATCCCTTGGTCCCTCCCTCTCTCTCTCTCTCTCTCTCTCTCTCTCTCTCTCTCTCTCTCTCTCTCTCTCTCTCTCTCTCTCTCTCTCTCTCTCTCTCTCTCTCTCTGTCTCTCTCTCTCTCTCTCTCTCTCTTTCTCTCTCTCTCTCTCTCTCTCTCTCTCTCTCTCTCTCTCTCTCTTTCTCTCTCTCTCTCTCTCTCTCTCTCTCTTCTCTCTTTCTCTCTCTTTCTCTCTCTCTCTCTCTCTCTCTCTCTCTCTCTCTCTTTCTCTCTCTCTCTTTCTCTCTCTCTCTTTCTCTCTCTCTCTTTCTCTCTCTCTCTCTCTCTCTCTCTCTCTCTCTCTCTCTCTCTCTCTCTCTCTCTCTCTCTCTCTCTCTCTCTCTCTCTCTCTCTCTCTCTCTCTCTCTCTCTCTCTCTCTCTCTCTCTCTCTCTCTCTCTCTCTCTCTCTCTCTCTCTCTCTCTCTCTCTCTCTCTCTCTCTCTCTCTCTCTCTCTCTCTCTCTCTCTCTCTCTCTCTCTCTCTCTCTCTCTCTCTCTCTCTCTCTCCTCTCCTCCTCTCTCTCCCTCTCCCCTCCCCCCTCTCCCTCCCTCTCCCTCCCTCCCTCTCTCTCTCTCTCT